AAGCCTGTGTGGATAGGTCCTTGCACATCTGGACACAGCAGTTTTATCCCATTCTTCTTTGTATAACTGTCAGGTTGTTCAGGGATGGTGAGTAAACAGCTCCTTCCAGGTCCAGCCACTGAGGTCTGGGCTGTCCCCCATCACGGTGCTGCCCTCCATGCATCGCTGTGAGGATGGTGGGTCTGTGTTTAGGGTCTGCCAAACATAACATCTAGCTAACGGCCAAAAACCTCTATTTTGGTTCCATCAGGCCAAAAACAAAATCTAGTTCACTTCAGAGTCTCCACATGTCTACTTTCAAACTCAAGTCAAGATCCATGTGAGCTTTTATCAACAGAGTCTTTCTCTGTGGCACATCTCAGGACTGGGTGATAATATCTGTTGTCGTCGACCTGCTCCTCCTCTCAAACATCTGCCCAGAGTGTGGACAGTGCTGTCCTTTAGGAAGGGTCTCTTGGTGGACAGCCGAGTCCTGTTCTGAGGAGCGGGGGTGAAGTTGCTCCTACTTTTGGGTCTTTACACGTCGTGCTGCTCAGCCTGTGGCTTCATCATCAGGGTGAGCTAGTTTTAGTCTCAGTGTTTCTGGATCTGCACTGTCAGGCTGTGATCGGAGGAAAGGACAGAAGCCTCAACATGGAAATGTCCTGAAACCAGCACACAGACCAACCAGGACGTCCTCAGATGTGTTCCTGCCCTCCCACTGAAGGAGGAAAACAGCTGTCACTGAAAGAACTTGAAATAAACCAGAGTAATAATACATAAAAGTGTATTGAACATCATGACGTTGCTTTGAGTTGTGCTTCAACAGAAATATGAAAAACAATCAAAGCAGCCTGATGGACCTGTGAGCTACATGTAGCTGAACAACCCTCTGAGCCAATCACTGCCATCAGCTGTTTCCTGTAACTCTCAGTCAGACTTCTGCACCTCGAGAACAAAAACACAACTTTCCTGTCATACGTGTGCTATCGGGGTTTGAGAAAACGTAAACAGGAGATGAAGTTTAGTTTGATGCTTCCTTGTGTCTACTCTGAGAAGTCTGAGCTGACACACAGATTTATGATCCATAAGCTGAAGTGAATGTTTGGTTGCATAGCAGTCAGGTTGTGTCCTGAGTCCCATCACAGCTGCCCACATGTTTCAGTAAAAGTCTGTTTACTGCAGTCTGATGATGTTTGTGTTCCAGAGGAGCACAGCAGGCTGTAGATGTTTCCATAACCTCAGATACCAGGTGACCTCTAACCTTTCAGAGTAGAAGTATTCCTTTGTTCAAACAGTTTTTACATGAACAAAGCACCAAATAATGGATTGTAATGAGTTTGACACAAACCAGGACCTTATAGGAACAAGAAACAGGTGAATGTGGTACCTGGATAGAACCAGAGCAGTCCAGTGAGGAGGAAGACGCCTCCAGTACAGAGGATCATGTATCTGCACGGTGGCAGGACCATGGCGTGGACGGGCTGCTGCTGTCTGTGGCTCCATCGGCTGCAGACCCTCCAGGGACGTGGTTGCACATCCCTAGTCTGGTGTTGGAGCTGGGCGTGTGAGGTATGCTCTGTCACGCCAGCTATCCACAGTCATCCATCACACGCCGCCTCTTATTGTTCCAGCGGTATTAATGCAGCGCTCCTGCTGCTCGCCACAGACGGATCCATCACAGCTGGCCTCTGCTCTGAATATCTGGCTCCCAGGCTGCTGGGTCTGCCTTTTACAATGAAACTTTAAAGTTTTGTTTACGAAGCAGAAAGCGTGATTAATGGCAGCTTTACAGTCCACCTGTGTGTGTTGCTCTGAGGCTTGTTAGAGCGAAGGAAAGGCCAGGCCACTGGTGAGGCTCTGGACAGGAAGGAGCTCTCCTGGAGGAGGACAGGAAGGAGCTCTGCTGGTGGACAGGAAGGAGCTCTGGTGGAGGACAGGAAGGAGCTCT